TCTCCGCCGCCCCCAGCCCTGCAGGGAGCCTTGGGCGATGCTGCAGCTGCCTCCCCTCCATCCTCAGCGGATGCTCTGGGTCCCTCCCTGTTTGCCACGGGTTTCGGGTGTTTCCCTCCGTTTCACCGCATTTTAGGGTGTTTCCCCCGGTTTTGCATAGTTTAAGGTGTTTCCCTCGCTTTCACACGATTTTAGGATGTTTACATGATTTTAGGCAACACTGCAGCATCACAGCAGAGTCTCCCCCAAACCCCGCTGTAGCCCCACATCCTACCTCCACCCTGCAGAAGGTGTCTCCCTTCCTGCAGGGCAACACCTTAATTAGGGGGGAAATAAAAGGGGGTGCGGGCAATCCCTGGTGAGGACAGAGTTAATTATGGATGTAGCAGCTCCTGAAAGCTTCCCCAGGCAAAAACCTGGTTTTGAGCAAAGCTGCTCCTGCCTGCCGGGCTCCGGGAGCTGCCCTGCACAGAGGGGACGATAAGGAGAGTTATTGTTGCTCCGTGCTCATAAAAGAATTATTATTAAGGAGGAGAAGAAAGTTGTAAGTGAAGTAAATTGGGCCAGGCTGGGTGTTTGAATAGACAGGAATAATGTTATGGTAATGTCATGCACGGCTCTGCTGCTCCAGGACCCTGACATGTTTTATAAAGCCCGGTGCTACAAAAAGCAATTCTGTGAGCAGAGAGAGGGAGAGCTGGCCAAAGAGAAACGAGGAGAAGCTGTAAAAATGATGTTTTATTGTGTGGGAGAAAGCAATGAGTTGAGATCTAACCCTTGATGTCCTTCTGGAGGAGAAAGCTGGCAGCATATTGTCGCTCGCTTGTATGATTTAATTTGCTATTCTAAGTCTTACAGTAATTTCTTTCCTGTGCTCCAAAAGCTTGTATCTAAATTTCTGTTTGCAAATGAAACACATGGAAGAACTCCCCAAGGCTCGGGCCTCAGAGCTGGATCTTCCCAGAGTGCAGGGGGCTGCTGACAGGATGGGGGCAGGGGGCACCCAGCAGCACCACCTTCCACTGCCACTGTGATCTGATTTTAGTTTGACAACCCAAAACACCTGAGCACCAGCCCGGGGTGGGCTCCCTGTGCTGCACAGGGTAAGTGATGGATCCGGGCTGTGACATCAATCAGACCTTTACGAGTCCCCAGCGGCTGCAAATCAATAAGTGCCAGCAATAATTACCCATTTTGTCTTTCTCTTTATTAATATTTAGACGTTTTTAGTCTTTTCTCTCTAAACATGACGTTTCCCTGCTGTGGGTGTCCTTCAGAGGGAGCTGTCAGGAAAGCTCCTGTTCCTCTAATTACAGGCTTTGTGCTGGATGGAGCTGCTCCCTGAGCAGGAATGACAGAGCCACCAAAGCTGGGGACGGCTCTGCAGCCTCAGCCTGGGCAGGTGACACTGGTGATGTCCCCAGGGGGAGGGTGCAGCCTCTCTGGGTGTCACAGTGCAGATCTTGTGACGGTCACAAGGGGTCATCTTGTGATGCTCTCCAGCTCTTGCTGGGGGTGACCACAACCCACAGATGTCATTTAAAGAGATCATGGAATGGTTTTGGTTGGAAAGGACCTTCAATCCCATCCAGTGCCACAGGAACACTTCCCACTGTCCCAGGCTGTTCCAAACCCTGTCCAGCCTGGCCTCGGGCACTGCCAGGGACCCAGGGGCAGCCCCAGCTGCTCTGGGCACCCTGTGCCAGGGCCTGCCCATGCTCACAGAGAGAATTTCTTAATTAGAAGTCCCTGGAGGTGATTATCTCCTCAGGGGTGCTGTTAGGGATGTAGACATTGCAAACAAAGCCCTCTTTTGACATGGAAAGGGGAGAAGGACTCCACAATTTTCAATGGAAATGACAGCCCTTATCTCCTTTAACACGGGTGTGAGAGAACTGATAATGCCCTATCAGCCCTGGAAAACAAATGGGAACAAATTCGAAACAGAAAACAACCCTCCCAAAAAGTAATATAAATTATGGTTTTTGTGGAGACAAAAAGTTTCCAGCAAGTCCAGCTTTAAAGCAAAAGAAGGGCTGGAAATAAGTGAGAGGAGGGATCCTGGAGCATCTGACACATCGGGAATACCTCCAGCTCCTGCAGGAACAAGTAAAGCCATCTCTTGTCCAGCTGTGCCCACAGGGATCTGTGCCAGGGATCTGAGGGCAGACCTGGCTTTTCCAGCGTGGGAGAGGTGAAGCTGTATCCTGACTTCTGGGGCTGTCCAGCAGAATAAATCCTCAGGGGGATCTCAGAGGCTGCTCCCTCCCCAGGCACTGCAGACACCGAGGGCCTGTGCCCAACACGGGAGGAGAAACTGGGACTGCAGAGATCTCAGGGCTGGGCAGGGACCGTGCTCTGACAGCCCCAGGAGCCTGCAGGGCTCCGGTTTCACCTCTCCTGATCCCTGTGCCACCTCACCCAGGTTCTCCCCATGGTGACAGAGCCACCTCAGCATCACCCCACTGAGGGCGACAGTGCCAACCCCACCTTTGGGACAGCACCTAGGGATGGGGACAGAGAGATGACCACAGTGAGGATGACCACAGCGAGGGTGACCACAGCGAGGGTGACCACAGCAAGGGTGACCACAGCGAGGGTGACCACAGCAAGGGTGACCACAGCGAGGGTGACCTCAGGTCTCCCCATCCCTTTGCACAGAGATGCTGCAGGCTCTGCCCAGAGTCCCACGTGGACTTCCTCTCTGGTGCCAGCACCTCCAGATGTTCAGCCAGCTGTGATGTGCCATTATCACCTCTTGCCTCTGCTGTGTCACTGCTCTTCTCTCACCCACGTCCACTGGGGGCAGGACACGTGTCCCCTGTCACTGGCTCCACCCAACACGCAATCAGGAGCTGCATCCTCTGCCCCCCTCTGCTCTGGCTGTTTGCCCGAGGGGCCGGGGGGGCTGGCAGGGGCAGGACCGTGTTCCAGCCCCCCAGTGTGGGAAAAGGGGCTGTGGCATGAGGCAAAGAGGGGCTGGAAGCTCCTCTGTGCCATATAAACAATGTAATGAGGACACCGTGAGTGTGGAAATATCTTTCACTGGAAAACAATTCCAGATGATGCAACTTCCAGCTACTGCCAGGGGACTGAGCACAGCTCCCCAGCTGGGGCAAGGACCCAGGCAGCTCTGCTGGCCACTCCCAGGCAGTGTGGGACAGGTAAAACCAGGGCAGGTAAAACCAGAAGAGATGCTAAAGCTGTCCCACGCAGGCTGGGCCAGCCCTAGAGCCCAGCTGGGTCCCAGCTCCTGCCTGGGGACAGTGACACCCCTGGGCTGGACTTCTGGGGGCTGGATGGGTCTTGAACCTCCTGGCTGAGCATTCCTGGGGCCAGACATGGGTCTGGGGAGGTGCAGCCTCTGTGAGTGGGCAGCAGTGAGTCCTGGGATACCGAAACATCCCACCCCAGCTTTTCCAGAGGGACACGTCCCTCGAGCCCTGCTCGGGTGCCCGGGCCATGTCACAGGTAGGTGATCTCGATGACATTGGGCTCAGCACTCCCAAGGGGAAGGTGGTGGCTGCAGGAGCAGTGGCAGGTCACTCCAGCCGAGCCCATCTTGCCGTAGGGATCCAGGCACCTCCATTGTGTCAGGAGCACGGTGTCCATGTGCTGGGCCATGGGCTCGTGGTGCAGCGTGACCTGCACCGTGCGCAGCTGGGGGCCGTAGTGCACCAGCAGCACGATGAACACAGCCAGCAGCACGAAGAGCACCACGATCACCGAGATCACCGGCAGCGCGTCCGATTTCTTGCTCACGCTCCTGACGATGGACACGGGGGTGAAGGCGGCCACATCCTGGGGCTCGGGCTGTCTCAGCTGGCTGCCGGCCACCGAGGCGTTCATGGCTCAGTGGGGTGACCTGCCACGGGGACAGGGTGGTGACCACCGAGCCCGTCCCTGGCCTCATGTCCTGCCCTCGAGCCCGCAGCTCCCGCACACGTGCGACTGCCAGGGAATGGGACGATCCCGTGAGTGTCCCCTCCCTCCCTCGGGCTCGCAGCACGGGGGAAGCTTTGGTGGTGAAGCGTGGGGCTCGCAGGATGATGCAATCCCTGCATCCCCTGTCCTAGGTGCCTTTGCACACCACACCCGGCTTTTGTGGGGAGCCCTCTGCCCACCCCTCTCCGCCTCCAGCCCCACGGTGCTGATCCAGGACCAAACCCCACGGGGACCTCCCAGGGGGGCCCAACCCCTCGGTAAACACAAGATCCCGTGGAGCCAGCACGGGTGGGAGCAGGGGGCAGTGAGGAAGGAAGGAAGAAGAGCCCTGCCAGCCCCCCGGGGTACCTGGGCGTCCCTGCTGCCTGGGGATCATCATCTCCGGCGGCGGGGCGAGCAGGACGAGCTGCGGGCTGGCTCTCGGGGAAGGTGCAGCCGGACTCACCTCGGAAGTTGCCACGTCACGGCCCGGCCCCGCCGCCGCCGGGGCTCCCGGGGCACTCGGGGAGCGCCCGCTCATCCCGGGCAGCGCGGCTCCATCCCGCCGCTGCCACATCGGCGCTGCGACCCTCCTGTCCCCCGGCGGGACAAGCGCCCTTTGTCTGAGGAGAAGAACCCTCCCTCCCCCCTTCGGCTGCAGGAAACCTCCCTGCTGCCACCGGCGGGGCGTGAAAATTGAATGCGGTGAAGGAATGGGTGTAAAAATTCCCCCTGGGCATGTGAGGTGTTTGCACAGCCCGGCACGCCCACGCTGTGCTCCGGGCTGGAAGGGTTCTGTCCCCAGGGAGGATGGTCCCTGCCGGGGTCCCACTGCTGCAGAATCTGCCCATTTGCCAGCAGGGCTGTGGGGTGAGTCCATGGGGAGCTCTGGATGCTTTGGGCCTCCACTTCAATGGTTGGACTCAGTGATTTTGGAGGCTTTTCCAACCTAAAGGATTGTGTGAGCTGCTGGGGGTCACAGGCAGGAGCCAGAGCCAGGTCAGGGCTGGCACATCCCTCCCCTCACACAGGTACATCCCCTGGCCCAGCGGTGCTGTGTGCCACAGCCTCTGCCCCAGCAGTGACCTTGAGCACATCACAGAGCAGAAAATACGGATCCCTCGGAGTTTCAGCCATTACCAACTGCATCTTCCCATCCTTCCACCCCGAAACACCACTGCTCTTACCTGCAGCTCTCAGCAGACAGGCTGGGGTGAATATCTGGGCTCTGTCCTTCCTGCACGTGGGGAGGACACGGTGGGAAATGCCTTTTCCCATCCAGCCGAGCATCCAGAAGAGATTCAACTGCGTGTGAGCTTCTGGGTATTTGCACTCATTTCAGGATTCAGTAAAACCTTAATCTACAGCATAATCTCTGAGCGTCACATCTGTGCAAGGGACAAAAGGATGGGGGGGCTGCTGGCAGGGGGTTTGTCCCAGCCAGGCTGCTGTGGAGGCCTCCAGCCTTGGGCCTGGTGGTTTTCCTGGGGGGTTGGAGGGGTTGGAGAGACCCACGGAATGTGAGGAGCGGTGCCATGCACGGGGGATCATTCTCTCCAGTGCTGCTGGAGCAGGGGGCAATGTTGCTAGATGTGGCAACAGGGATCCTGCTGGCAGCATAGGACACCCTTGATGCTCTCCATGCAGTGAAGGAGAATCTCCTTGGCCTTTGGCTGAGGCTCTGTGGCTTTCAGGGGCTGTGGGAGGGGGCTGGAGCAGCTCCTCAGACCAGCAGACAGAATCCTCTGGCTTTGTATCCTGAACACACACAGACGCCCCAAGAAGGACACAGGAACTTTTCCTAGGTGAGGACACTGAAATGCTTCTCCTCCTGCAAACCCACTGACATCCAGCACAGGATAAACCAGAACCTCTGGGGCTCCCACTGTGACAGGCAGGACCTGCACAGAGCACCACAACACAAGGTCAGGGCCAAGAAACTAAATCCCTGAGCCCCTTGGGCTGAATGGGGCAGAACCAGCCCAATTTTCCAGTTCCTGCCCTTCTCCAGGAACTGGGAATGGGGTAGATCCAAGCCCAGCATGTGCTGTGTGTCCTGGAGGGTGCTGCCTAAAGAGGAGCATCCCAAAGCCACCATCCCAAAACCACCATCCCAAAGCCACCATCCCAAAGCCACCATCCCAAAGCCACCATGCCAAAGCCACCATGCCAAGGCTGCCATGCCAAGGCCACCATCCCAAAGCTGGCATGTCCCAGCACCCAGACTCACTGGGGCTGCCCAGGGAGGCCCAGCTGCTGAGCCACCCTGGCCCCACAAGGAGCAGTTATCCCTAAATTCCTCGCGGATGTATAGGAACTCCCCTCTTGTCAGAACTCAGTGCATCCCTCTGGGTGTCCAGAGTTGCCAGGACCCCTGCCAGGGGGCTCAGAGACCCTGGCACACAGCCCAGAACCTGTGGGTTTGATTATGACCCACGGAACAAATTACCAGCTTTGTATGAAGACCTGAATGCCACAGAAGTTTAAGTAGTGTAATAATAAAATTATCACTAGATGAAAAAGTAGATTTTGGGGTTTTTAGAATAGGAGGTTTGGGGACAAGATGGAGGGACTTGGGCATGTCCAACCTTTCTTCTTCTTCTTCTTATGTACCTCCATTTTCTGCTATGATGTTGGCACTTTGGGATTGATTTAGAGTAGAAACTCACTGTTTAACAAAGGTAACAGGTACTGGAAAGTAATTGTAAACACGTTATACATAGATTGTAGTATAAAGAGATAAACCCACCCCAGGGGCAGTCAGTGTGCCTGGAATTGTCCTGCTGGACCTCAGCAGGGCAGGAGAAAAAATTTTATAGATAAGATACAATAAACAACTCTGAGACCGAGAACTGAACAACTCCAACTCATTCTTCGAACATGCGGACCGAAACAGAGATTTTTCACATATCTTGGGGCTGCAATAAACTGCAACCTTCCGAGACCCTCTCAGGTGTCGGGGAAGCTCCTCCAGCTGCTCTGACCCAGGGAGGCTGATGTGGGGAGTGGGACCTGGGGCACATCGCCCCACACACAAAACACCTCCCAAAAAGCCCCGGCACCGCACGGGAGCCGCCGAGGCCCGGAGCGGGGCATCCCTGCGAGCGGCACCGAGCCCCGGCAAAGCCCGGCGAGGTTTCCTCCACCGCCGGTGAGCGATGGCTCACATCCTCCCCGGCCATAATGGGCTGAAAAACACAGTTCCCCTGTGGATTGAGCCCGTTTCCTCCTATTCTTTAACAGGAAGCTGTGTGAGAGTCAGCCCAGGCAGGCGAATCGCTGCTGCGGTCCCTCCCGGGATGGCCAGAGCTGCGCCAGGCTCGGAGCAGCGCGGAGATGCCGCTCCCGTCCCTCCGCGCTCTGCTCGGGCTCCTCCTGCTGCTCCCAGGTGAGAGCCAGGCTCGGACGGGGGATTTGGGGGGTCCGGATTCACGGGGGGGTCCAAAGGCAAGGCTGGGAGCTGCCGCTGCAAAGCTCAGCCTCGCAGCTCAGGGGTGGCAGCGGCCGGGCTGCTGGGGAGGGAAATCGTGGCTTTGTCAGGTTCACAGGGTTGGTTTGGCACTGCTGGAATACAGGGATTTGTTTGCAGCTTAATGAAAGGAGTGTTTCTGCTGAGGCGTTGGGAGTAAGTGACTTTTGTCAAGTAAGAGTCAAGGTGGAATGTTTCAATGTACAGGACATTGTTTTCCTCAAAAATACTTTTTATTTGCACTTTTTGCTCTCATTAGTATCAATACAAAGCCCACGTGCAAGGCTCGTGCAGAGCACATCTCGTCCTTGCTGTAATAATTCTGCTGCTTTGGGGTAATTATTCTTTAACTTCTGTTTCCCATCTGAGTCAAGGTGTGGGATGAAGGAACTGGTTTCCTGCTCCAAAGGATGACAGGTTGCTTTTCCCTGCATTGTCAGGCCCCTCTTCCCTTGCTGACAGCTGTAGTAGCTGGGAGCTGGAATACATTCAAAGGAATATAAAATAATATGTCTCCAACTCAAGGTTTTATCATTAAACCATAGAAGCTGCCTCGGGTTACAGCCACTGTGCTGGTAATAATGGGATTTTTAAAAGGCAGAGAATCATAGAATGGTTTGTGTTGGAAAGGAAAGATCATCTCATTCTGCAGAATATAGAAAGCAATTCGGTTTGTAGCTGTATAATTCCATGAAATAAGAGCACATGGATTGGAAATTTCCTCTCTTCATTAGAGGCCGATACTGCTGCCTTCAGCAGAGGGGGGATTTGTGTCTGGGATCAGAGCAAGGATCACACCAGGGGGCTCTGAGTGCCTTGGCCTCTCTGTGACACTCCTTAATGCTCACCCAGAATGCTGCTTTTCCTTTTAAAACTGCTCAGAAGGGCTTTTATGGGACAGCAGTGGCACAGAGGGGCTCAGGCCCTTCCCTGGCTGGGCTGCACCACGCCAAGGTCCATGGATGGGAATCCCAGAGACACTGCCCAGAATCCCAGAATCCCAGAATCCCAGAATCCCAGAATTCCAGCTCCTAGGAGCACCTGGTGCTGCAGCACAGGTGGAAGGGATGCCACCCTCCATCCTTCTGTCCTCTCAAGCCACCCTGTCTAAAATCAGGGGCATCCCCCTCTATGCTCACAGCACTGTCACACCTCTCCCACCAAACCAGCCTTCCCTGGAATGTCCTGCCTCCCTCTTCTGCACTGATCCAACAGCCCCAAAATGGCTTTTCAATTTCATTTTTAATTTACAGCAAGGCCCAAAGGTGGTGCAGCCCCTGCGGAAGCTTCTGCACAAGGCAAAGCAGCAGCTTAGGAGAGGGGCAGTCAAGCTCTGTGGTGCCACTGATTTCCACACCCAGGAGCTGGAAAAGGGAATTAGGGGCTCTGGAACAAGGCTCCCTGCCCTGGGGGAGATGGATGTAACCATGAGGAGACACAGAATCTGCTTAGGCTGGACACTAACACCTGCCTGGCCCACACAGGCCTTTCTTGCTTTTGCTTGGTGCAAATTCAGTATTTTATTAATTTAGCATTTCCTAAATTAAATTTCTCCATTCTCATGGTTATTTCTGAAGGGAGGTTCAAACAAGGGAATTTCAAACTGTTATTTTGAAATTGCTGAGTTGGGAAGGTCTGGCACATTTCCAGTTTGGTTTTCCTCCCCCTAGAAACACTTAGCAGAAAATTTATCCAAACAAACCTCTTCCTATAGACCCTTTCCATTACAATGGGCAGGCATTTCCCAGACAAAAGATTTCCACTGCAAAAATTCCTCCTCAAAGCTGATGAAAACCCAGCAGGATTTCCCACTGTTGTTGTTCCATCCACTGCTCTCCTTATCTGTGCCACAGCCTGTGGATGGATAATGCCATGAGAAATGTGGTATTTCAAAAGCAGACATGTGTTTTGAGATATATTTTTATACAATCAAAAAGATGGGGTGTAGCTACAGGACAGGCACCCAGATTCCAGACTTGCATCCTCAACCCGGAGCATCCTAGAGCAGATTTCTCAGCCAAGGGCGAGGCCAGCCCAGCCCTGAGGCGCTGCACAAGGAAGAGAAAGCAGGAGGTGGTTTGGAGAAATGTTTGCTCACACAACAAACTGCTCCCTTCGGTAACACGAAACCCCTCGGTGACTCTGCAGCTCTGACTGCAGCAGCTTC